TGAGAATAACAGCACAATTGGAAGAGTGTAGTCAATGTCACTGAACTGTGCATGTAGAAATTTTTGAAATGGTGTATCTTTGGCTATGTGTATTTTCACCAAGAAAAAAAAAAAGGTTGCAAAGTTAGAGAGTTGACATGTTGTGGGGTTGTTAACCAATGTCATGGAACAATATGTGTACTACTGTTTCATGAGAAACTTTAACTATTTGTTCTGTAAGCCTTCACCTGAAGTACAATTAAAAAAATTTTTTAAAAAAACCGCTTCCTTCATGGGCTTTCCCGCTTATGTGAGAATAGTTTTTACTTACTTACATAGGGAAGATGATGTCAGAATACTCCACATGTGAACACAAGCGCGATCAGCTAAGACACAGCAGCCCATACTGCATCTATGTCTGGCCCAGACGTGGACCACTTCTGCTGCAAGTTCTTACACATTTGTTATCTGTTATTTGAGTAGCCAATGTGGGGTCAAGTTTTTTGCAGATCATTACAGCAAACATTCAGGTAGTGAGTGCCCACTGCATATGTTGGTTTATCCACATAGCAGCCTTGTGAGTTCAAGGGTTGAGACTCTTTACAGGAGGTTTACATCTCAGATGGGGAGGCCGTGCGTCACCGCCAGGCAGTGCTTTATGGGGAGTGAGGGGAGGACCTTCGCTGAGAGCTCTCAGTCCCCGTTAGTGCCTTTTGAGAACACCACAGCAGAAATGCCCGTAGCACAGAAAAGCGTGTGAAGCCAGAAATAGTCCTGTGAGAGGCTTGACTAAAGAGGAAGGCACCCCATCATGGGGCCAGGTGGTGGTCCTCCACCTCAGGGTTGGGGTGGGAGAGGCCCCTCTCCCCAGGAACGTGCTCATGTATAGGATTTTGCAAACAGTATCTGAAGGGTCACAGACTCTGAGGGCCTTTGTGGGTCCAGGCTTAAGAACCTCAGTACAGTGTGTGGTTCTTAGTTTTTAATTGGCTTCCCAGACATAATGCTGTTGATTCAGGCTGGGTAGTGGGATGAACTTTCTAGGAAGAACTTGGTCAAATCTCAGCTCTGCCTCGGTGGTTGTCTGACCTTGATTCACTTACTTGCCCTTAATGAGCCTCGGTTTTCTTATCTCTAAAATGGGCATGGTGATAATATTTACCTCATCATGTGGCTATTTGGATGAAGGAGGACACCTCGAAAAGTGCCTGATATAATGGAGGTTCCCCTCCCTTCCTGGAAGGAGTTAACTCTAATCCCCCAAACTGGCAAGAGATGAATAAGATAAAATGTCAATTTACTCATCTGTGTCTGGAGCTAAGCTGGGCTGAGAACTGAAATGCCCTTTGGAAGGTAGGCCCGTCTGATAACAAATCCAGGCATTGTGTCTGCATAGGAAGTAGAGAGAGGTGAGGAGATAAGTGGAGGGTCATCTCTGTGGAGCTGTTGGAGCGAGATGAATCATCTTCACCCTGCCTCTAGAAGAACCCGGGGCGAGAGTGGGGCAGGCACCCTGGGAGGGCGCCAGGCCAGCTCCTGGGAGCAGTGAGTTTGCCACCACAAACCTGCCCTTCCCTGGTAGCTTACAGTTCTCAAGACTTTTTAAACTGTGCTTATGAGGCTCTGGTCTGGTACCAGCTTTCGGCAATTCCTTGGTCTCCTTGATTGGAATTGGATAGGGAGGCAGGATGGTTAAGGGCTCTTTGGTTTGGATTCAAACCTGGGTTTGCATCCCAACACATCCATTTGCTAGCCTGTGTGACTTGGAGCACATGTCCTCGTGTATAAAAAGCATTAATGTTAATCCCAGAGGGAAGCTGTGAGCCTCGGGTGAGTTGATCCGCACAAGGTGCTAGCACAGTGCCTGGTACGCAGTACGCTTTCAGTAAGCTGCAGCTACAATGATTCACTTTGTGGGGCATGAGGAAGCGCCATGTCCTAAGAGCTGCAATTTCATACCATCTGTTCAGAAGGTTAGGAAACTCTGGTGGCACAGTGGTTAAGAGCTTGGCTGCTAACCAAAGGTTGGCAGTTGGGATCCACCAGGTGCTCCTTGGAAACCCGATGGGGCAATTCTGCTCTGTCCTATAGGGTCGCTGTGAGTCGGAATTGACTGGATGGCAATGGGTTTGTTTGTTCTTTTTTATTCAGAAGGTTACTTGTGCAGTTGATTATTCTGTGTTGATTTTTTCAGCTTCAGTTTTGAAGGCTAACATCTTCTGGCATCATCCCCAATCTATAAGGGGAAATGGTAACATCTATACATTGACTGCCCTATGTTCTCACATAAAAAGATTTCTATACAGTAATTAGTTTCTATGCAGCATTTTGCAGTGATTAAACCAATGAGCATGGGACAAGGGTTTTAGATAGGGTTAAACCAAAAAACCTATTGCCATCGAGTTGATTCCGACTCCTGCCACCCCATGTGTTACAGAGTAGAACTGAGCTCCACAGGATTTTCTTGGCTGTAATCTTCATGGAAGCAAATCGAGTGCAAACCGTTTGTGCTACACACAGACCTTTGGGTAGGGTTAGAAAGCTGGAAAAGTTGGAGGGAGCT